AAGCTCTTTCGGCCCACCTCCTGCCTCCCGGTGGCCTGCACGGACCCAGCTCTGGCTTGGGAACAGCCTCTGCAGGCCCACTCTTGCCTCTCCGCGGCCTCTCCAGGTGCCCAACGTCCTCAAGTCAGCCTCTCCAGGGCCAGCTCCTCCTGCCTCCCAATCACCTCTTTAGTACCATCCCAGCTCACGCCTCTCGGTGGCCTCCTCAGACCTCTGCTTTTGACTTTCGGCAGCCTCTTCAGGCCCAGAACTTGATCTCCAGTCAGCCTCTCCAGGCCCAGCCTCCTGCCTCCCGAAGGCCTATGCAGTTCCAGCCTCTGCCTCACAGCACACTCTCCACGCCCAGCTCTCGCCTCCCTGCCGCCTCACCAGTCCGGAACTCCTCCTGCCTTTCGGCAGCTGTGACAGGCCGAACTCCTCTCTGCCAGTGGCCTCTTCAGGGCCAGCTCATTCCTCATAGCAGCCTTTCCAGGCCCAGTTTTTTTCTTTTGTTGGCCTCTGTAGTTCCAGAAGTTCTTCACATCTTCCTCTGCCTGTCTAGATGCTTCCTCCCTGTGTCCACTTCTTTCCCGTCTCTTTCTGTATTGTGCATCTGTAGTTTCTGCTTTTGCCTCGGAACAACGTCTTTATACTCAGCTCCTATCCAGCTCCTCACCTTTGTAGGCCCATATCTTTCTCAAGTGTAGCCCTCTAGTTTCACTGCCTTCCTGGTGGCTGCCTTAGCAGGTCCAGCTTTTGTCTGACAATTGCTTCTCTAGGCTCCCTCAACCCACCCAGCTCTTGCCTCACACTCGCCTCTCTAGGCCCAGCTCCTGCCTCTCACTCTCCTCACCTGGCCCATCTCTTTTTTCACGTCTGCCTCCCAAGTCCCAGATTCTGTCTCACTGTCTTCTCAGTTATACCAGCTCCTTTCTAATGATGGCCTTTTCTGGCCCATGTTTGTTCTTGTAGTGTCCACTTGAAACCATCTTCTGCCTCAACGTGGCCTCTTCTGGCTTTGCTCTTGCCTCACAGTCACCTTCTGCGGATCCAGATTTTTAGTCTTTGATGGTCAATAGCATCAAGGAGCCTAAAGCTTCCCTGGACTCTTATTTGTTGGTAACTGCACAGTAGAATGCCTTAGCGAAACAGCTGTCTCTTCTTTTAACCTTGACAATGGATTTCTGACAAATTTATAATAAATTGCATGGTTTTATAGTGATTTTCTTTTTATTTAGTGTCTCGTTTTTCTTGTCTTCTTTGGGTGGGAATGGGAATGAGCCTCTGCTTGGGCCCTTTTTCTTTGCTCCGGACATGGAACCTTCTCACTTCATGTCTTTATGTTTATATTTTTTATAGTTATCTTTTTTTCTTTTGTTAGGATCTTGCTGTGTCAGCCAGGCTGGAGTGTAGTCGTGTGATCATGGCTTACTGTAGCCTTGGCCTTTTTCCCTGAAGTGATTCTCCCAACTGAGCATCTTGAGTTGCTGATACTACAGGCACATGCCACCATGCCTGGCTAATTTCTAGTTTTTTTCTGAGAGGTTGGTTCTCACTGTGTTGTCCAGGCTGTTCCCAGACTTGGACACAAGCAGTCCTTTTGCCTGAGCCTCCCAAAGTGCTGAGATTACAAGCATGAACCACCTTGCCTGGGCTGCTGTTTGCTTATCATGAGCTATTATGAGTTTACTTTGTGATTAACATATTATTTCTATATAGATATATGTAAATATAGATATTTAAAAATTCTCATGGATACCAATTTTTTCCCTTTTTTTGAGGCAAGGTACCACTTTGTAATTCAGGATGGAGTGCAGTGGTATGACCCTGGCTCACCGCAACCTCTTCTTTCTTGGCTTAAGTGATCCTCTCACCTCAGCCTGCTGTGTAGCTGGGACCCCAGGTATGAGCTGCCATGCCCAAGTAATTTTTATGTTTCTTATAGAAAGGGGGTCTCACCATGTTTCCCTGGCTGGTTTCAAACTCCTGGGCTCAAGTGATCATCCCAGCTCTGCCTCTTGCAGTGCTGGGATTACAGGTGGGAGCCACCACACCTGTCCTATCATTTTCTTTTCATAGATCATTATGAATTCACTTTATGCCAGTACGGTGGCTCATGCCTGTAATCCAGGCACTTTAGGAGGACGAGGTGGGTGGATTACAAGATCAGGAGTTCAAGACCAACCTGTCCAAGATGGTGAAACCCCGTCTCTACTAAAAATACAAAAATTAGTCAGATGTGTTTGCAAGTGCCTGTAATCCCAGCTACTCCGGAGAGTGAGGCAGGAGAATTGCTTGAACCTGGGAGGCAGAGGTGGCAGTGAGCTGAGATCAC